TCTAGTTCCATCCAGATTGCTGCGAAATTCATGATTTTGTTCTTTTTTATGGCTGCGTAGTATTCCATCGTGTATATGTACCACAACTTTTGAATCCAGTCCTCTTTTGATGGGCAGCATGGTTGTTTCCAGGTTCCTGCTATTGTGAACAATGCTGCGATAAACATACATATGCAGGTATCTTTTTTATAGAGTGATTTGAGGATATATTCCCAGTAGGGGGATTGCGGGGTCATATGGAAGGTTGACTTTTAGAGTTTTTAGGAATCGCCACACTGCTTTACACAGAGATTGCACTAGTTTACACTCCCACCAACAGTGTAGAAGTGTTCCCTTTTCACCACACCCTCTCCAGCAGCTGTTATTTTTTGAGTTGTTGATAATTGCCATTCTGACTGGAGTTATGTGGTATCTCAGTGTGGTTTTGATTTGCATCTCCCTGATGATTAGTAAGGTTGAGCATTTCTTCATGTGTTTGTTGGCTGCTCGGATGTCTTCTTTTGTGAAGTGTCTGTTCATACCTTTTGCCCATTTTATAAGGGGGTTGTTTGTATTTTCTTTTCAGCACGTTTGAGTTCCTTGTAGATCCAGGATGTTAAGCCTTTGTCAGACCTGGAGTTGGCAAATACTTTTCCCCACTCTGGGCTGTCTCCCTGCTCTCTTGATGGTTTCTTTGGCTTTGCAGAAGCGTGTCAGTTTAATGAGGTCTCACTTGTCTATCTTTTCTCTTATGACCTGTGGGTTTCAGGTTTTGTTCAGGAATTGGATGCCAGTACCGATTTCCATGAAGGTATTTCCTTCCTTTTCTAAGGTTCTTATGGTTTGAGGTTTTACATTTAGGTCTCTGATCCATTTGGAGTTAACCTTTGTGCATGGGGATAGATAGGGGTCCTGTTTCAATCTTCTGCATGTGGTCAGCCAGTTTTCCCAGCACCATTTACTGAATAGGTTCTCCTCTCCCCAGTGGTAGGTGGTGGGGGCTTTGTCGAAGATGAGTTGGTTGAGAAATTGAGGTTTTGCTTCTGGAATCTCAGTTCTATC